TTTCCCGGTGGTATTCTTGTGTAGAATTCCTCTTGTGCTTCTCTCTCTACATTGGTGGTGTGTAAGACCCACACACACACATTCAATGGTTACCTTGCTTTTATAACCAAAGAAATACTCCGTATATACATGCATGGCTTGAGAATAAGTCAAGAAGGAAAGATCCACTTTGATATGATAATATGCACCAAATCACTTTGTTGTCCAAGTCACGTTTCTTTCTTTCAATGTCTTCTTCCTTATTTTTCTTTTCTTTTCTTTTTTTCTTTTGATTATTAATCAATTTCCCAACATATATAATATGTAATGTATAAATATGACTGAATGTGTTATACTGATAGAGCATATTAGTGGATCTGCACATTGGTAGTCCCTTACATTAATACTATCGACCCCCTTTTTCATTTTAAAAATATGCACTAAGGTTCTAAAATAAATGTAATATTAATTAACTTCCTATCATTCTATACATTTTCTTAATATGAATATAGATGATCCTCAAGTAAGACAAAGGAAGTGTTTCCAGTGTAATTCCTCTAAGGTTTCAGGATCAGATTCATGAAAGAAGGGGCAATTTGTTCAACAGTGTTAAATGTCTATTACTGGTTCTCTTGTTCACCTGTTAATCTGTTATGCAGAAGGGGATCAAGGCAGCACCAGTACACCTTTCAGGGGCAAAGCAGAGCGGCGCCAGCTTTCTTCTGTTTCCACAGCATTACTTTTGGCAGTCTGCATTGGCATTGTTGAAGCTCTGGCCTTGTATTTGGGATCTGGTCCACTTCTCAGTTTGATGGGCATATCACATGTATGTTAATTTCTATAGCCAATTATATACGCTGTTGATTGTATGCCTATGAAATACGAATGCATTTGTGTTGATGTGAAGTCTTTAAACAATGGTAATGTGACATTTTGCGTAGTTCCTTCACTTTATTGTCTTGCTTGCGTAAAGTACTCAAATTTATACAGTATATGAAAAGAGAATTTTCTCCTAGAAGACTCATTTATTTGGTTCTTAAAGAAGTTAATTTGCTTCATCAAATGGTAATTTCAACTGATACTAGTTTCTATGGAAAATGATAAGAAGTGCAAAAGAAACTTGGATAAATAACAGGCTTAACTAAAGCGGAAAAATCCCTTTGAAATATGTGGAAAGATTTGGATGCAGCCATGTAGACCATTATGGCATTATGTCTAAATGAGATTACTACTGGGTCATGATAATACTTTCTACTTCGTATTTTTTCTTTATTCTTATTAGTACTAAAGCAAGATTGTCCCTTTACTTTTTCAAGTTATTTGTTTTTACTAAAGAAGCTATTTTGATAATAGACATCCCCCATGCGAGCACCAGCACAACGATATCTAGCTCTGAGAGCTCTTGGTGCTCCTGCATTCGTAGTTTCTTTGGCTCTTCAAGGCATTTTTCGTGGTTTTAAAGATACAAAGACTCCTGTCTTCTCTTTAGGCAAGTTTCATAAAGTCTGGATGTTAACTGTTTGATTGCATCATACACGCACAAAAAGATAAGTTTCCTTTCATATTTAAACACAGTTGCTTGCTAGCTGCTGCAACTTGCAAGTTCAGAAGTATTTTTCAATCAGAAGTTAATTTTAACATGTGTCTCTGGTTGTTATGCTCTTCATTTGATTTCCAACATTGTGATTTGTTGAATTCCTTCCTTTTGCAGCTATTGGAAATTTTATAGGTGTAGTTTTGTTTCCAATATTTATGTTCTACTTCCGTCTGGGTGCATCTGGAGCAGCCATATCCATTGTGTTATCCCAGTATGCCAACTGTTTATTCATCTGCTTTCATCTTATGTGTCTTTACATTATACATCATCTTGTTTCCTTCGTTCTTTTTTATTCAAGTGAAACTTGCATTGAACTTTAATTCCTAGATACTTGGTGAGCTTTTCGATGCTATGGTGCTTAAACAAGAGAGCTGTGTTGCTGCCTCCAAAACTGGGAGGATTACAATTTGTTGGCTATCTAAAATCTGGTGAGTTGATATGCAAGTGGGAAATTATATGGAATACCAGAGCCTTTGATTACGGATCATCATACGGAGTATCATTTATTAGAGGTCCGTTTTCTATTTTGGTGCTGTTAGGTGGTTATCTTCTTGGGAGGACACTTTCGGTCCTTTTCACCATGACCCTTGGAACATCAATGGCTGCTCGGCAAGGTCCTGTAGCAATGGCTGCTCATCAAGTCTGCTTGCAAGTTTGGTTGGCCGTCTCCCTCCTCACGGATGCGCTTGCTGCATCTGCACAGGTGAAGTACAACATTTCTCTGTGTTTGTTTCTCATTCCAATTGGCATTTCAGCTATCTTAATTTGCTCATGTTTTGTTCAGGCACTTATTGCCGGCTACTCATCAAAAGGAGATTATAGGGTTGTTAGGGAAATCTCCAACTTTGTTTTGAAGGTTTGTGATTGGCAGTTATTGTAAGATCATTTTTACTAAGGTATATAAGTTGCGTATGTACAACTAAACTCATATGTGTTTCTCATTTTAAATTTTCATCTTGGTTTCATTAGATTGGAGTGGTTACTGGTGTCATTTTAGCGGTTGCACTCAGTGTTTCTTTTCCTTCTATGGCAACTCTCTTTACTCAAGACATGGAAGTACTAGGAATTGTCAAGACTGGTGTATTGGTAAAGCATGCAATGCAACTCTTTAGCTTCTACTGATTTGATTTGATGATGCATTCATTCGGTCATCCCGTAAAAGTGGATGTACAGTAGTTGTTAGTTCCTTGTCGGATATTTCAGTTTTCTCTAATTAGAAATAACTGCAGTTTGTGAGTGCCAGTCAACCAATCAATGCACTGGCTTTTATTTTTGATGGTCTCCATTATGGGGTTTCAGATTTTGCATATGCAGCTCATTCTATGGTAAGTTTTTCTCCCTTTTTTTTCACATGGTGCATGAGGTGTTATTAGGCATATTGACATTATTATACCATAATAATACTCCGTAATACAATTCTTTTTTGATGGGTTACAGATGGTGGTGGGTGCATTATCATCTGCATTTTTGTTCTACGCTCCAAGAGCGTTTGGCCTTCCAGGTGTTTGGTTGGGCCTGACCATATTCATGGGATTGCGAATGATGGCTGGTTTTATAAGGTAAATTGACAGTGTGGATGCATTAGGCTAATTAAAAAGACTAGGGATGCTGATGTCGTCTTTTGCTTTTCAGGATTATGTCTAAGGATGGCCCTTGGTGGTTCTTGCACTGTGACATGAGTAGTTTGAAGGTGAGTGACTGTGTTGCGTAGTTTTGTTTTTATTGGAATGGATAACAGACACGCTTACTTTATGTTTTGCAGGAGGGCTCCCAGGGTCAAAAGCACGCACGATGATTCCGCCCAACTAATTTTGTCGATGTAGTGGGAGTTATATTTGGGTATGTACTTTCATCTGCACATGCATTTTGATATGTTGAGCAATATTGTTTTAAAAGGTTGAAATGTTGATTTTCTTGAGTACTGTTTTTCTACAAACCATCATCAAGAGCAACTCCGAACGGAAGAGGTATATTGAGAAGGTATATATTGTTTATTTACCTTCCCAAAAAGGTAAATATACCTTCATAAAAGGTTGAAAATTTCAAGGGTAGAACTTAGATACATACATACATACATATATGTATATATATATATAAGCTATGAAAACGTAGGTTCATTTCTTATTAGTAGGTACTACAAAGTTATGAGAGCAGTTAATAAGGCTTTTTTCGTGATACATAGAGCAGTCCATATTCACCTACGGCTATGTTTGCTAAAAATGAATGTTGAGAGACAAATGCTTGGTAAAGAAAACAAATACTCCCTCCGTTCCATGATGTTTACCCATTTACAATTACGATCTCTGGACAACTCTTATTTGTATGTGTTTTTTCATTGATTATTTTATAAAATAAAATATTCTTGTCACCTCTTGTTTTGTAGAGTTTTCGATAAAGTTTTTAAATATAAATTTTTATTTTATATTTTTTTACTAATTTGTTAATAAAATCATTTTGAAATTTATGGGATGAACAAATACTACGTATACAAAATCAAGTGAGAGTGATGCATGAATCGACCCAAACCTCCCCAGTGGTAAGTGAGTTTGAATTTTTTATTGATTTTGGTTTATGGTTTGTATTTTCGGTTCGAATAAAAAAACTTCCAACTTTCTCCAATTTTTTTTCTATCAATTGTTTTCAATTCAACTTCATCTATGTTATGTTTTTCTATAGTTTCTTTCTTCTTTTAGTTTTTTTCAATTCAATTTCATTTATATGGTATGTTTGGGAACATGGAGTCATATTTCAAATTCAGATTTGGCTCAAATTTCATGTTTGGAAACTCAAAAATTTGGATTGGATTTGAGTCAAATTCTTTTCATTTATAAAAAAGTTCAATTTGAAATTCATACACATTTCTTCATTTGAAATCCATACGCTCCCCTTATATTTGTTTTGTAATTTTTTCAAATATTTTTTTTATTTAATGAATATATCATATATTTTTATGTAATTGTAAGTTAAAAGTTGAAAATAATTGATTGTAAAATATTTCAATTTGATAAATATTTAGAGTCTGAGCTTCAAATATACTTTTAAAAAATTATAATACTAAACCATTTTTTGTTAATTAATTAAAATGTTAAACTAACTTTTGTAAATTAATTAAATACACTTTTAATTAATTAAAATGTTAAACAATTTTAGTATATATTTATTAATTATGGAGTATTTGATAGAATAAATTTATTTTGTTATTATTTAATTTATAGAACTTTAGATGTAAATTTTTGATATAGAATTTTGATGTTTTAATTTTTACCTATTTTTAATTATATACACCCTATTGATTTAATAGTAACTTTTGTTGAACAATTATAAAGGAACCTTATTTTGGGAGATATTTAAGGACGAAAAGTTTGTTTTTTGTTTTCTACTTTTCTTACTCCCATAGAAGTCCCACACTGACTTTAGAGTAACTATTTTTCTTCTTAATAGTTAGCCCCCCTAACGGTAGAAATGTCTGATTAGCTTAATTGGATAGTAAAATTATGAGGAGATTGTACAAAGAGATACTTAAAACATATAATATATACAAATGTATATTATTTTATATTTAAAGTATCTCTGTGTACAATCTTCCTGAAATTTTACATTTGCCACATGTAATTTTTTTGCAAAGAATTGGTAATTTTATTAAATAAGAAAATGAAGAGTAATAACCAAAACTAATACCCTATAGGCTCAAAACAAAACTAATCACGGCTATCTCATGGCTCGAATTGAACAAAAGCTAGGATCATGTTATTAAAACCATCTATAGTCAAGTGAATCACATCTTTTGTTCAATGCGATATGTACAACGAGATGAAACAAATGCTAAGCGATCCAAATAGTCTACCTGCTAAATCCATCAAGAATGCGTTTTCAAAAAAAAAAATGGGTAACAATAGATGACAATAAACCTTGGCAGGTAGGTAATGAGTCATAACAACAATGGAGTATTACTGAAAGAATAGGGTAACAATAGTAGGGTTGAAGCAGAAAAGCGATCATGGGATTGCACGTAATTCTCCGGTTTGAAGAGAAAACATTCTGTGATGGGAGAGAACAGAAGGGGCTGCTGCTGTGAATGCTGCGTGTACCCTTGAAGCCAGGTTGTGATTGCGGTCATCATATGATGATTCTTTTGCAGCTGCTTCTACTTTGATGGAATGCTTCAGCACTGTCTGCAGAATTTGGAGGGGATCGCCATGGCTCACGATCAACACCGCGCAACTGCAATCACACAAAGCCACACAATATTATTATTGTTCAGCTCCTTCAATTTATGCTGCTGCTGCAACTGCTAATACTACATCGGGTGCGTGGGGGATCGTGTTGTTTAATTGTTACCCTTGAAAAGCGGACTCGATGGTGGTCAGTGCATTTGCAAGTCTAGAAACAACATCTGCAACACTTTCTCCGCCCCCATTATCTGGACGAGCAAAGGGATCCCCCTCATCCAATGCCCAAATCTCGGGGTACTGTCATGTCAAACAAGCAAACATCAAAAGGCAACCCAACAATAATAACCCAGTAAGATCACAACAATAACCTAGTAGAACCACACGGATGGGCGCCTGAGGGGATAGCATACAGCTCATGTAAGCATACCCTACGTACCCCAAATTCGAAATATAGATGATGATGATGAAGATACACAAAATGCTTGAAAAGGAAGATGTGATGTCTTTCTTTACTTTACCTTCTCATGTGACATAAGCTCATAAGAAGGACCAAAGTAGCGCTCGCGAAGATCATCTATAACCTGCTAGCTTAGAGAAACTGTTAGTCCTTTCTGAGGTGAATAGATGATGATCATAAAATTGGAGAACAATGAAAAGAATAGAGGGCCAAACCATGAGCTGCGGGGAAGATGGAAGACGGGAAGCAACTGCCTGCGCGGTATGGCTGGTCCTTGAGAAGGGGGAGTGGCAGATTCGCACCTTCTCAAGCTCAATCTTGTTACGCTTCAACTCCTGCAACGGAACAGCGAAAAAATGAAGATGGAATTCCTTCGGGGTCCCAATCTCAGATCAAAACACAAGGCTTGGATGCTTTGAAATCTCGAAATTTATACTGGAAATTCGATGGATTTGAAAATTTATAAAAACACAATGAGAGATCATTACATCTGCCTAAATTAATTTGTGTCCAAATACTCCACAGTGATGAGTACTGAAATGAGTAAATGGATGCTCAGCAATAATTACCTCCCAGAATGAGTCCCCTGCAGATCGAGCTTGTTCGATTCCCGCTGGAGCTAATCCGTATTTCTCGAGGATCCCATTTTCCTGGCGGCCCAAACAGAGACGTCATTCAATTTAATGGAGACGAAGGAGAGGGAGAAATGACAGAGAGTGAGACAGAGAGAGCTGACCATGGAGGAAACAATAAGGCCCAATTCATTGGGGATGCTTTTACCATGTCTGAGCACCCAATACTTATTTCCAAGTATGCAATCGCTACCACCCTCCATCGCGTAATCGCGTGCGTCTCCCTAGGATCTATACGCGCCGCCGTGTCGCCTGCCGGATTTTATCACTCCTTCGCCCAACCCCCGTTCTTTAACCAAAACTGTTTGGTTGATGTGGATCGAGTCTAACAATCAAGACTGTTCTGCACCACCACCTCCTTTTGATATCTCTTATACTCATGTGTTAAATAAATAAATTTTTTTTATTATTTAAAAGTTATGACATTTTTTAGATTCAACCATTTTTATTGATTATTTGATAAAATAAAAAATACTGTCACCTTTTGTATTGTAAAATTTTTTACGTTATTTTTAAATATAAGTTTTTTGTACTACATATTTAATATCAATATTTAAAAAAATAGTTTATAAACTTGAAATTATGTTTTGTTTTGCATAAAAGGTAAAAACAATTTGGAATCGAGTGAATATACAAAATACTCCATATTTTTTCCCCCGCATTTAGTCTAATTTGACTTATCTTTATCAAAATTTGTAAATTTTGACTCTAGTATGCAGAACAAATATATCATATTTCGACATAAAAGCAATACAATAGGTTTATTTTGAAACACTTTTAAATATTCATTTTTTCTTCAAAATATTTTTAGAATTTTTGACATTTTAATAGCATTAAATAGACATAGACCAATTTAAAACTAATTATCAATAAGTTCACAAATAGGTTTAATTGTTAATTAATGGACCGTGGACGTGTGAGATAATTTGATAAATTATGCTAAAAAATTACAGAATGGTGAATTAATTTTTGATTCTCAAAATTAAATCACATTAACGTGTTAAAATAGGTGACGTAGCTGCATTTCATTGGTCTTATCTTATCTGATTTATTGAAGATCTAATTTGATCCGATTTGATCTAATTTGAAATTGTTTCCGATATAATTTGATTTAATTTAATTTGGTCTAATTTGACCTGATTTCAATAAGAATAAGTAATTAATTAAAAAAAATAAATCGAATAGAACACTACCGTGTGTGTGTCTATATATATACTCTGTGTCTGTGTGTGTATGTATGTATGTATAAAAAACCATCATCTATTACTTTTACACAATATATTTAAAAAAATGTCCTCGCTTACTACCTTGATGAACATTTTTTAAAAAAATAAAAAAAACAAAATAAAAAAAGATTTTTTTATGTAAGATCCACAAAAATAATATGCACCCAAAGTGCACCATAAAAGCACTCTTGTGGGTAATAGCCATCCCGCCGTGAAAGGCGAATGTTCTCTTCCTTCCTTTTTTTTAACAAATCAAAATAATATATTCCTTCCGTCCCAAATTATAATGCATGTTCACCATTCACAGGGTCAAACTTCATTCACTTTCTTTTTCTATTTTCGTTATCAATTTGATAAGATAAAATACTAATGTCACTATTAGTTTTATAGATCTTTTGATGTAGTTTTGTAATATGTAATTTTTATTTTTTAATTCTATACCATTTGTCATATAAAACGGTTTGAAAATAATTTCAGTCAAACATCATAAACCGAAACATGCGTTATAAAATGAGACGGAGGGGGAATATTTTAACTCATCACTTTTTTGTGGTGTTTCTTTTTTAAATTTACAAAACACATATTTTTATTACTTCACATCATATTTCTTTGGCCTGTTTGGGAAACTGGATTTGGATTTAAAATCCAGATTTGATACAAATACCTTGTTTGGGAATCTAAAGAATTTGAATTTGGATTTAATCCAAATTCCTCTCATTAATAACCAACCCAATTCCAAATTCATACCAAACCCATGTCATTTGAATTCCCTAGCCCAATTAAAATTAAAATTACGCCTGGACATTCACTCCTCTCTCACGTCCATCGCCGATCCTTCTCGTCCATCGCCTATCTCCAATTTGCGTCTTTCATCTCTTTCGATCGAGAGTATCCGAGCGGCTAGGTCTGAATCGCGTCCACCGCCTCCTTCTTCCCTAGCTAAAAACTCCGATCCAGGTATATCTAGAAACCATTTTTTTAACCCTAGCTATGGTTTCATTAAAGTCCAAGGTTGAGGATGATGAATGAATGAATGTGCATCGATTTTTGTTTGATTTTTTCCCGAATCACAAAATCAGATTTTTCTGATGGTTTTGAATCTGGTTTCAACCTATTTGCGTCATTTTAGTGTGCTTGTGTGTGCCCTTGCATATGGAATTGTTGGGTTACTTATTTTCATATATCATCAGTTATTGTTGCTATAGTACAGAGATAAAGTTGGTGTTGGTGGGAATAATTGTGTTTGAATTTTGAACACTTTTTTTCACAGTAAGTCATTATCTGTTTTTTCTTTTCTTCTTTGGCATGTCTCTAGGATGGGTCAAGCTGGGATAACTCAACCAGTTGTCTTTGATAATAAACAGATCCTGATCTAGACCCCTAATGGAATGTGCAGTGAACCATATCAGAATTCATTCAAGATTATATGACCATAGTGTCTATTTATATTTCTGAGCATCTACCTCTATAGTCAGACTGGTTGGACATACATAGATTAGGAAATCTGATATAGTGAGTCACATTAGTAAATACTTCTTAGTTGTGACCTCTGTAGTATTATTACTCTATTGACAATGGAATTTAGTGGTGCATGCTATTTTCTAGAGTAATGCTAGGGAAAAGGTGTACCCCAAATGTACACTACCCTTTTTTCCTCCACACATTTTATTTGATTTTTATTTACTTATTTTTTTTGAACTATTTTGTCTTTTTTAGTGGACAAGGAGGGAGTGGGAGACATTTGGGGTACACCTTTGTGTACCCATAGCATTTTAGTATCTTTTATTAGATTTGGATCACTCTTTTGTAATGAGATCCAATACTTTGCTCTGTTTGGAGTGTCGTGTATGTGCAGCTTTAATCATTTCATACTAAAACTAAAACTGGTTGAACTGGGAGGCTTCCTTTGGATCGGCCAGTTAGCTCTAAAACCATTTCTTAAAGAACAAAATTTGTTATTATTATTATTATGGCCTTGTTTTTTATATTTTGTAATATACAGAGTAGTAGAAAGTGGACTGCTACGTACGGAGTGTGTGTGTGTGTGTGTGTGTGTGTATATATATATATAAATATATATATATATATATATATATATATATATATATATATATATATATATATATATATATTATTGTAGGTTGAAGAACAATTCGTGTCAGTAGATGAACTACTAGATGCTGATGAAGTGTGATCAAGTTTTGAACAAGGACTTGCCTGAAAATGAGAAGCTAGATTGGATTTTGATCTGCTTGGAAGAGTGATCGAATTTTGAACAACTATGCAATATTAAATATGTGCTACAAATTAATACTTTTCCTAATTGTCATACATTAGTATGTATTTTGTTAATGAAACAATTGGTCATTATGTTATTTGAGATTATGTATTTACAATATTTTATTCATTAAAAATTTGAAATGAAATTCTAGTACTTCCCAAACAACACTAGAATTTGAATTCTAGAATTGAAATTATGAATTTCCCAAACAGCATTTGGATTTGAAATTATGAATTTTGAATTTCTTGTGTTTGCCAAACACCAAAATGGAATTTGAATTATGGAATTTCAAATTATAGAATTGAAATTCAGAAATTGAAATGAAATCCCCTATCCAAACACTACCTTAAATTTTTTCAAATCTCGATAAATCCTGTCAAACCCAACATAAGACATGTTTTCATTATTGTGTATGTCCACGTAAGAATCAAACAATTATTTGGTACAGGCCTTATCTGATCGCCGCACGCGTCAGTATTTTGGCACGACATGAAAAAATAACAGCAGGATACATACATTATACCGGAGTACATACATATACGTAGTAGGGTACCCTACAAGAACAATTAGCTGTACAAGCAATGATGATTAGGATGGAATGTAATTTAAGTAATCACAGCTGCAGCAGCAGCTTTATTAATTAAGGAGAAACTTCTACTCTAGTGCGTGCTTACGTGTCTAGTGGTGGCCAGCAGCCTGGTGGTGGTGGTGGTCATCACACGTTCGAGAGCAGCCGCTGCCGCCGTCTAGGGCTATGTCCGTGATCTGCAATCCCGTGTCATATATCCCCCCGTTTATCCAGTCCCACGGCAACACCTTTTTATTAGCCCAATACCACTTGCCGTCGTACCCCGCCGTCACCACGAACCGGAATTGCAACGCCCCGCTCGGCGGGGGCGCCCCAACCGTCTCCCAAATGGCAGCGGCGCCTCCTCCCTGCAGCTGTTTACGGCGGCTCATATACATCCAATTGGGCGACCCCACCTGACGACGACCTGATGGTGCTGCTGCTGCTGCCACGTCGACGGACACAATTTCGGTCTGGCCGGCTTGGTATAGGAACTGAATGGCAAGGCGATTAGGCTTATGGCTGCTCTCGTCAACGCGGATGGCTAAATTCCTGCTCTTATATTCATCACAAGGCACCCTGTTTGTTTTACACTTATATACATCATCAACTCGATCGATCGATCCATCACTTCTTCAATCAATATAAATATGAACACATTTGGCCTGTGAGACGATGGAATTAATAAGAACGACGCAGGTAGGTATGTAGAGATAGGTACCGACCGTTGATATTCGACATGGTCGAGGAGAGTGTCAAGAAGGTGCTGTCGTTGTTGTTGGTCCTTTTTGCTGTTGCCTGCAGCAGCAGCCATGGCCTTGAGAGCTCTACTGCTTATCACGAAATCGGTTTGGGCATTGGCGCTAACATAATAATCAGTTACCATAACTGTCGTCCCTTCTTTCTTGCACACAATAAGGTCTTTGCATCTTAACTGTGCGCCATCCAAATCATAAATAACTAAAATAAATCAACCACATACTATAAGTCTAAAATTCATTAATAACTAGCTAGCTAGGTAGTACGAAATCAAGAAAGTCAGGCTAGCTAGCTAAAGCTAAAACAGGGGGCGTGGCCGGGTGGGAATAATGGATGGATGGATGAGTACCTGAAAACATGCACCGCAAGCAGCGCCATCCTTGAAGAGTTTTGGGGAGGCCGCTGCAATTCGTCCACCGTAGAAACCAACAGCCATGGAGCCATATCCACAAGCACCAGCTGCCATATATGCCACCAACCCTTCTATTCCATCAGTATATATGTACAATACATGGCGCGCATCAAGTACGTAATTAATCTTATATATATATGCGCATGCGTGACACTTACAGTTGAGGGCAGAAGCGTTGGAAAACAGAGAGACTCTGGCGTGGTGGAAGCAGCCATCGCATGTCGCCTCAGATGCCGAAGAGATGCTTCCGGCGGTGCAGACAGCGAGGAGGATTGCAACGGCGGCGCAGAGGAAGCTATGTTGGTCACACCCCATTATATTTCACTATAACTAAAATACTACTCCGACTTCAATTCGAACAATTTTATATAGAGCTACTACCTCTTTATCTTTATCTATGTATATATATATAACGATTACCGAGTATATAGGGAATGTATGGAGAATTATTGGATGGCTTCTTTGTTTGAACTGGGGATAAGAAAATGACTCCTAATATAAATACTAAATACTAAAAAGACAAAAGGACTCACAAGAGGACAGGTCAAGTCAGAGGTGGAAGATATATATGTACGCGCAATGTAACGCGGAATAGCAAAAGTATAATTGTCGTGTATATTATATACTCTTTCTTCTCCCTTAATAATTTTTGCTATTCTAATTTTTTAATAAGAAATTATATACTTTAATCACAAATTTAGTATAATCTAAATAAATAAATATTATAGAATTAAAGTGTCATTAATTGATTTAAAAAACAAAAAAAAGAATTTTTTGAACGACTATATGGCAATACAGACAAAATAGCCGCCCAACTATAGTACCCAGCATATACCAACAAGTAGATACATTTACGAGTTGTATTTACAGCTGGAGGCAAACTAGACAGCATATGGAATTCATGAATATTAGATCAATAAACTAAGCCTTATTTTCATTAGGATCCCAACTTTTACACTATGTTTGGTTCAAGGATTTGAAAGGGAAAAGAAAAAAAAATAAAACAGAAGTTTTTCGTGTTTGGTTAGAGAGAATAGCTTTTCATGTTTTCCATCATTTCCGGTGAAACCAAAATTTCACCATTTTTTGGCTTTGGGTGTGATGGAATAAATCAAAATGGATCTCTAAACTGTCCGCGCTTCTTTAATTAATGAAGTAGCAGTTAGTCAAGCAATGCAACTTTCGACTTGAGTCGGGGATCTCTTTGGAAACAGTCTCTCTACTTTCGAGTAGGGGTAAGGTCTGCGTACACACACCCTCCCCAGACCCTACTCTTGTGGGATTTAATTGAGTTGCTGTTGGTTAGAGAGAAAAGGTGGAAGGAAAAGAAAATGACAAGGCAATATCTACTAGGAAAATCAAAATAATCCCATTTTGGTGAGAAAAAAGAAAGAAAACAAATTTCTTTTTTTCTTTCAAAATTACTTGAACCAAACATAGTGTTAGGATTTAAGCGATACTCCAACTCTAGATTGTGACAAAAAGATGAGGGTGATTCTCATGTCATTAAAATTCTATGTCATGAGAACCCTTAGCCCTTTTGGTAAACCCCCATCCCGTTCCAACCCAAACACATCATCTACCCCTTCAATTGTAATCCAATTATGAATTTTGTAACAAGAATGCAACCCAAGTCGGTTTATAAGTCACCACCAGTCACAAGGACCAAAACTAAAATATCTCATCTTTATTTTATTATACTTTTGACCACATTGATTTCTTGTTCAATTAAGCCAAATAAAATTACACTTTTATCCCCATATTTTTTCTATTTCTACTAAAAATCAGTACTTCATAGTTAATTCCAATTAGAGGTATAATTTTAATTAATAAAAAATTACTACGTATATCTCTAATATTAGATAATAAAAATAAAAATTAAACTTTTTGGTTTTTTTTACATAGTTGGTTCAGACTTCAAAATTAACATTTTTCATGTATCGAGCTATATCAGTCTAGGTTATATGATTAATTTACTATTAATATAGGTTTAATTTTAAATGCTTTGAAGCCCTTCAAATTTCACATTTTTTAAAAGCTAAAGATATATTTAAAGTTAAAATGTAAAAATGAAGATGAGACATTACAATGTTGGTCTCCGTCCTAAAATTATCTTCCTTATTACTTTTTCACGATCTTTAATCCACTACTTTGACCATTAATATCTCAATTGATATTTTTATTTTTTAAAAATATAAAAAAGGAAAATGATTCGTGGTCGGGGAAGTAATACAGACTTCAAACGTAATGTAATTAAGGTTCAAAATCAACCCCAATTTGACATGATGTTGTTAGCAGAGTACTGAAGTTCTTCTACTCTCAAGACGATCATACCTATTATTCACCAGGTAGAATACTATGACCAAATTTCTCATCCAGGTAATGATGGGTTTGAAACTAGGTACTAAGCAGATTGAGTAAACAATGGCATTTTAAGTCATTTCTTGTTTGATTAGTAAAATGACATTAGTCTAAACATACACAAGATTGTGACTGGTGTAATGACATGCTTATCTAAATGATGACAAGTAGACAAACTCTTTACTAGTTTTGTAAAATTTCTTGAACCAAACATAGTGCTAGTGTTAGATTTGAGTAACATCTTCTATGTCCACAATCAAAACATATTGGCTCTCAAAAGACGACATTGGCTGAACACGTAAAGATATGACTAAATGTTTTAGAAAATATTAGTTATAGTGTTGGCCATGAGATATTAGGTGAAGAAATTAGCACAACTTTAGTTTCAATTTCACACTAAAATAACACAAGTTCAACACTAACCAGGGATGTTTTTGAGAAGTTTTGATTCAAAGCAGTGTTGGTTCATCACCGAAATAACATCAAATTGACCACTGAAATAACCAACAGAGTTCAACACTAAACAGAGGAAGTTTTGAGATTTTGTACCTTAATAATAATGCAAGCATTCAACCTTGAGTACAAAATAAAGGCTGGCATCTGCAGACAAATTAAGTAAAACAAAAAATAAATAATTTTCAAAAATAAGAAAAAAAATTCCGAATACAAGATCTTGCGGTAGTGAGAGAGAATTTTTTACTTGCAAGCTTAAGAAGAACCAAGGACGGAGACTGTGAGGTGCAAGAAAATATTCTTGTATCCTCTTATTCAATAATTTTTTTATATAATTTTTAAATATGCAAATTTTATTTTTATACAAAATGTCAAATATATGGAGATCTCAAAATGATACTCCATTGAAGAGAAGGAACAAGGATAATGACTAGTAATTTGACAAATTAAATACTTTCTTCTAGACAGGTAAGAGCAACTCCAATGCATAAGGTACATACATAGTCATGAAAGGCAAGTGGTTGGAGAGAACCTTTTTTGTGGCGAGTGGCGGGCGGTCAAATGGTGAACGAAAAAACGAATACATAATGGAGCGAGAACTTAATTGCGCCAATTGCGAACGCCATACACCATTGCATTGAAAATGGCGATCGCCATTGCTAGCCTCAACGACATCGTCATGCACAGCCCAATCGAGGTGCCTTAGCCTCGCCACAGCGCCATACGCAATCAACGCGCACGTAACTCTATCGGTCCTAGCAGAATTCATGGGCGGCCATCGGACAAAGTGTTGAAATCGGGTTTGTGCTGATATCTCATCTTCGAGCTGGAAAGGACAGCGGCGAAGGCAAAGCACCAGCCGTTGCTGATCATCAATATGGCGTCGTCGTCCAAGGGCGGGGGGCTGTAGGAACGTGTGGGCCTTGGTGGCATACCCAGCAGCAGCAACTCTCTGTTTGGGTGCATGGCCGGCGACTGCGGGTCGTCGGTGTGGTACGAGAAAGACATCTTTGTCTCTTCGGGAGCCCCCTCTACTCCTCCAGCGGTAGGGTCCTATGCCTCCAGTGCCGGATCCAATTCATTCTCGGATGAAGATTGGGGTTTTTTTAGAAATATTTGCACTAAATAGCACTAGAATTTAAGTCATTTCCCTAAATATCACTTAAATTGTTTTATTTCCTAAATAGCATTTAATAATGTCCATAATGTCTAGTGATAGCGAATACTTACTTGAATAATGACTAAAAGTGCTACATTGGAAAGAAAACACATGGGATGCTATTTAGGGAAAGTCATTATGTTTTAGTGCTATTTAAGTAAATTCCCCTTTTTTATGGGACACCCAACCAGAGCAATAGTTAACCGTGGCAAGGGCTGAAATATTGGAGTAAACGGAAATTCTCGTAAGGCTTAGAAATAGGGAGGGAGAGGGACTCTTTCCCGAGACCGTATCAGATTTTGATACGATTCCATTGTTTGGTGTCACCAACATTGAGGAGCTCTTGGAAAGGGTCAAGCAAACTCTAGACAGCCCCACCAACCCTTACATATTTCCTGTTTACTTTCTCGCTTGGCACTCTAGGGGATATTACGTGCAACTTGAAACGGGTATGAACTTTGCGGAACTGCTAGGACAAACATATTTATTTGTTTATGGCAAAGTATAAATTCATCCATTCATGCTCATCCACCTCTCTTCTTAGCCACGGGTTCCTAGTTTACATCATTTGTGTTGTGACTTAGTTGATGTGTATGTGTATTTGTACACATACAATCACCCATTTCGAGTTCGTGGCTGAAATTTGAACTAGTGATTATAATTTGTTTATTAGCTAGAAGGGTAGAATTATATTAGATCATGGAGGTCCATTACACAAGAGGTTACTTAAATTTTAATTTTTTTTACCCGAACAAGTGATTTCATCAAATCACCAACAATTGTTTCTAAAAAGGAAAGATCAATATATCATTTATTCAATCCTCAGCTCATTACTTTATCGGAAATATGTGTAGAAGTCAGTATTAAAAAAGAGAAAAGAAAGGTGCAGAAATAGAATGGGATGGGATGACATGAAGAAGATGGAGAAATAATGGTGCGTGGTTTGGCAAGTGTTACTGGATGACTGAAAAAATCACAAAAAAAGAGAGCACAAAATGAATGTTTATCAAAACCTTGCAAAGAGATCAGACTAGGTAGCTAGATCGAGATGGGTGATTGTATGTGTACAAATACACATACAAATCAACTAAGTCACAACTCAAATGATTTAAACTAGGAACCCGTGGCTAAGAAGAGAGGTGGATGAGCATGAATGGATGGATTTATACTTTGCCATAAACAAATAAATTTGTTTGGGTCCTAGTAGTTCCGCAAGGTCCATACCCGTTTCAAGTTGCACGTAATATCCCATGGAGTGCCAAGTGAGAAAATAAACAAGAAATATGTAATGGTTGGTGGGGCTGTCTAGAGTTTGCTTCACCCTTTCCAAGAGCTCCTCCATATTGGTGACACCAAACAATAGAATCGTATCAAAATCTGATACGGTCTTGGGAAACAGTCCCTTTCCCTCCCTATTTCTATGCCTTACGAGAATTTCCGTTTCTCCAAATATTTCAGCCCTCGCCACGGTTAACTCTTGCTTTGGTTGCAGGTGTCCGATAAAAAAAGGGGAATTTACTTAAATAGCACTAAAACATAATGACTTTTCCAAAATAGTATCACATGTCTTTTTCTTCCCAATGTAGCACTTTTAGTCATTATGCATTAGTCATTATTCAAGTAAATATTCGCTATCACTAGACATTATGGACATTATTAAATGCTATTTAGGAAATAAAATAGTTTAAGTGCTATTTAGGGAAATGACTTAAATTCTAGTGCTATTTAGTGCAAATATTTTTAAAAAAACCTCAATCTTCATCCGAGAGCGAATTGGATCCGGCACTGGAGGCAGAGTAGCAGAGGGGGCTCCCGAAGAGACAAAAATGTCTTTCTCGTACCACACCGACGACCCGCAATCGCCGGCTATGCACCCAAACAGAGAGCTGCTGCTGGTTACGCCACCAAAGCCCACACGTTCCCACAGCCCCCCACCATTGGACGACGATGCCATATTGATGATCAGCTCATGCTTTGCCTTCGTTGTTGTCCTTTTCTAGCTCGAAGATGAGATAGCTGCACAAACCCGATTTCGACCCTTTGTCCGATGGCCGCCCAAAAATTCTGCTGGGACCAAATATCATCATTATCTTGAAGAGCCGCAAATCATCAAGAAACAGATTGATTCATCAAGAAATAGAGACGAAGATTCCACAATTCACCTAAAAACAAATTGGATGAGAGCCACTAATTTCATCAAGAAGCAGAGTAGATTACCACTAATTACATCAAGAAACAGAGTGGATTACCTTGCCAAAAATCAAATCTTGGAACACCAAATTGACCCGGTCCGGCGGCGCCACCTCCCATTCGGCGGCAACTGTGCGGCAAATCAAAGAAGAAATTATTTAAAAGGGGGGGGGGGGGGGGTTATAACACTTTTCTTGAATCGGCCGGGAGAATGTTGTTTACCTCCACATTTTCTGACTACGGCGGCGGAGGCAGTGGCGGTCGTCTCCATGGTGGTCAATTTCTCCACCGTGAAGAGAAGAGGGAATTGGAGCGCAGCTTTCTTGAAATTCTGAATTAAAAAATGTGTCATCCATGTGTCTTTCTCGTACCACACCGACAACCCGCAGTCGCCGGCCATGCACCGGAACAGAGAGCTGTCGCTGCTGGGTACGCCACTAAGGCCCACACGTTCCCACAACCCCCTGCCCTTGGACGACGACGACATATTGATGATCAGCAACGGGTGGCGCTTTGCCTTCACCGCCATCCTTTCCGGCTCGAAGATGAGACCGCTGCACAAACCCGATTTCGACCCTTTGTCCAACGGCTGCCCAAGAATTCTGCTGGGACTGGCAAAACAAATAGAGAGGCTTCAATTGAAACACATAGCAAGACATTGAAACGGAAGAGGATCTGTATAAAATTAATGGGTTATACAATGGGATAGGCTTGACATTAATTAAATTGGTTGCCATTTATGGATTCTTTTGGCCCATTTTCCGTTTTATATGTTGACTACTTAAGGGCATCTCCAACGCATCAGCCATAGTGTAAAAAATGAAACTTATAGCTACTACTGTAGCATTTTTGGCACTCCAACGGGGCTTCCAAAATTTAGAGCACAAGCTATATAAGGATTCAGATCTTTCATTAATAGCGGGTTACTGTAGGTTGGCTAAAAATAAATTAGAATAAAGTAATGACAAGTGGAGGTACGGCTGCATTGGGAACGAAGAAACAAATATAAAGAGTGGTTGGAGCCGGTGCTTTGTGAGCTGTGCTTTTGCAGAACAGAGATAAAAACACAACTATATGGCCGCGCCGGAGCGATTGACAGAGCTAATCAAAGATAATGGTTTGTTCGATGGCAACCGGGGTTAATGTGGCCGAAGCAATTGCAAGATCTATTGCTTCTAAATTCTTAAACAAAGAAGGGAGATAAAGTGAGATAAAAGAATAAGAGACTCTCCGGAGCTACTCCCCGGAGTGATTGCCAGAGATTTTGTTCCCAATCCCAACCAGTGCTTTTTTACAAAAAGATAAGGGAGAAGTAGATAATGCGAAGTAGATAATGCAAAGTAGCTAAACTCAAATAAAGATGTGGTTGGAGCACATGTAAAAAATTAAGCCTCCATAGCATTGTAGATAGTCTAAAAGTAATGTATAGCTTCTCACTTTTAAAAGCTCCGTTGGAGATGCTCTAAGAGCAACTCTAATAGAGATGCTATAAGCCAAAAAATAGAATGTATACATGTTGCTGTTCATGTTTTGGTGCTCCAACGGAGCTTCTAATAAATAACATAGCTTTTATAATTACTGTAGCATCATTCTTAAATGAAAAAAGTTATTTTCATATTTGTGGTGGGGAATCATTCTTGGCTTGGTAGGTGGATTCTTGTCAGACAATAACCATTAAAAAAATTATAAATATAGCTATATGCATGATGCATTTGGAGTGCACCCACATTTAGATAAATAATGATTTAGCTTACCAAATAGCCCTTGGAGATGCGACGAGGCGACCCGGAGCAGTCAACGACGAGGCAACCCGCAACGGTCAGAGACGAGGCGACCAGCGGCAATGAGGCGACCCGCGACCATTCTTAGAGCAGCCCGAAATGTCAAATTTCTCCAACATGTGATATGAAAGTGCGTGATTACATATTAGCGGCACCATCATCCATATGGAGCTCTACCAGATCCGATCTTCAACAGTGACAATTGGAAGTTTTGCAACCCAGAGGCTGGCTCAACGATCTGTGGCGGTCAGCAGTAAAGCGACCAACGGCGATCAGCTTTGAGGCGAGCCACTGTGGTCAGCGATGAGACGACCAATAGTGTTAAGCCAGGGAGGCTACCAGCGGCGGTTCACTGTGAAATGACCAGTGGCGGTCAGCAGTTAGACGACCAGCAGCGGTCAGCGGTGAGGCGACCAGCCGCGGTCAGCAGCGAGACTCCAATCTGTGATCTAGGATCGCTCCTTATCTAGAGTCTAGATAGGGACGAGGCAGAGCAGAGGCTCCAATCTGGAGGCAAAGCGGAGCGTCAGATCGACGACTATGTTTGCCACTCCAGCGGCGGTATCTCCTTGTGCTTCGAGAGGACCATCTGCATCTCCTCCTCGATCCAAAATCTTGCTGCCAGCGATGCATGTACAGATCGAAGACGGTTCTTGATCTGTTCCGACGGCGATGCTATCCCACACTTGTGCGAGACGACACCCGTAAGAATGAGGTTAAAGATTCAAAATTCCAGGCCCCGAAATTCGGATCTATCTTTCTCTCCTTCTGTAACACCATGGTCAAACAAAACCCAATTCTTTTTTCACGTATTTCACCCACTAGCCAAGTATTTTCAAAATAATGGGAGGATTTTACACTTGAGCATAAAAACTCTCCTTTCAATGAAAGCACCAAATCGGTGAAAACCATGGGTCTTTTTCGACGGCACCATACCAATGGAAATTTTTATCATATATCGGGGATATATTTGTATAACATATTGGCGTGATAGCCATTGATGGAGCTCGAAGCTCCATCAAGAAGGAGAAGATGAACATGATGAATATAATATGTGGGGAATGTAGAAGGTGGCTCCCCTTTTCTCTTGGATCTGTGCCCCTTATATAATACGATAATGGGAACCTAGGTTTAGGATTCCCTAAAGGGCTTCTCTTGTAGACCGGCCCAATATCTTTAATTAGACCCAAGGGATATTGTTGGGGACATGTCGTGTGGTCCAAAACAAATTAAAAATTTATAAAATATCCTTAACTAACCCCGAAAATATAATCAAATAAAAACTATAGCTAGGGCAAGTAAGGGTCGATCCCACGGAAAAAGTTTGTACTTTTGAAATCAAAATAGCATGCAAACACGTTGTCACGAAATAAAAATAAAAAAACGACTACACATATGATAAGACTTATAAAAACTTATAATAAAACTTATAACTAAATAAATATAAAAACTAATAAATATAACGAAGAACTTATAATATAACTTAAACACAACACAAGGGGGAGGTTGGATGAAAAGTAAATATTTTTGGTATTTTATATTTTCTTATTTTTTTGGTTTTTTAATAAAAATGGGGAAAACAAGCTCAAAAGATAATCAACTTCTCCAATTTAGGTAACCCACGAAACACCGCCAAGAACACGAAACAAAATTTAAAAAGAGAACGAACACAAGTTGAACATTACACGTATAATAGGCACGTAGACAATATATTACGTAACTTACGCACTTAAGAATAGAAAAGAATTCAAAGGCTCGAGTTAGGGGTGAGCAAGTACCGAACCGATACCGAAATTTCCCAAAAAAACCGAGATTACCGAACCGAAAAATACCGAACCGAAAAAATACCGAGAAAGAACCGAACCATACCGAACCGAATGGTCGGTACGGTACGAGGGGACGTCCCATACCGAAAATCCCGAACCGAACATATATACCAAAATATTATAAAAAATAATATTCCGGAGTAATATTTTTATATTCCTTCACTAAATAATAACCCGGGTAATTTTAAAAAATTGGTTCAAGTAAGTTTTTGTGTATGAACATAAAAGTATTCACAAAGATTTGAAATACTCCTTTGTTATCGTTCATTTTTTAGTTTGTGAAATATAAACTAAGTTTTGGCACGCATCTCTTGCATTTAAATATTCATTTTTTTGATTTTCATGTTTTTTTTAAACACACTTTTTAATTTTCAAAAATAAAGGGGCATTGTTAAATTTTAACGTGTAAAGTAGGTATGTATATATATTCATCCCGATTCATCCCGATTTGTACCGAAACCGATACCGAACCATGCCGAACCGATATTTCGGGATCGGGATCGGTACGGGGTAAAATCCCATACCGAACCGAAATACTTGGTACGGTATCGGTACGAGCTAAATACCGTACCATACCGTACCATGCTCACCCCTAGCTCGAGTTGATTCATATCCTTGACCACATATAGAGGATCGTCAACTCTCTATAAGGCCCGGAGTCAAAGATTCAAAGGCCTTTTGGTTACTTTGAACCCCCACTCACCTCAAGCGCTCAAATAATGATTCCAAAAGATGAAAAAGTTTATAAAAGAGTGAATCTTTCTTTCATTCTAACTCCCATGCACAAAGTATTCATGAAGAACATTTGATACACTTTAATAAACTTTAACGTCTAATGATGAAAATATTTTGCAGGTCTCCTTGAACTACTCAAGCATAAGAATTGTAATCTATTCACATAAAAGAACATTACATATTTTCATTAAATCAAGAGTTGTTTATTGCGCTTAAACAATCCCAATTTATATGAAAATAACAAACAAAAACACCAAGACATAAACAATCACTCTATAACGAATCTTAAGGAAAACGTTCAACTTATGTGGCTAAGAAGATCATTTACCTTAAAATTTTACAAAACACAAGTCACAAAAAGATTCACGTATGAATTCGAAAATCACTTAACTAAAATATGTAGCTAAATTAGCTTCAATGATAACCGAATTCGACATACCAACCTACTTATGAAATCAAATTTATAATTCAACCAATTAAACATCAATTTGCATAATAGCCACACATTTTGTGGGGAGCTTACGGCGGGGTTGGGGTGGGGGTTTAGGGGTGGGTTAAGGGGGTAGGAACCGTCAATTTTGCGAACAGAGCACCAAAGGTGCCCCAAAATGCCAGTGGCACCGCTAGTGGCACCGGATTCCAGTGGCACTTGAACCCCACCCCTCTTAGTATCATTAGATTTTTTATTCCTTTTCATTCATTTTAGATACTTTTTTACTTTTTCAACCCATTTTTGAAATAGATATCTCTCCTCTTAAATTAGTTTTAGGTTCGACTTTATCGAGTAAAGTGTCTAAAAAAATATAGATTCTTGATATTGTAGTTTAAAACTCAACGTCATCATGCATTAAAAAATAAAGGCTTCATGTACAAGACTTGAAATGACCACGTTGGCACGTGAGGGATGTGTTAGAATATTTAAAAAAAAATTATGAGCCTAGAACTACAAACTTGAACATTTGATTAAATTGGTTCCTAACATACCATATCAAAGCCAAATTCGATTATATTAAGGCTCAACTAATCATGGTATTCGTTGGGTTACCTATAAAGAAGTTGAGGTAGTAGACGTGCTTATCAAAATAGTAACTAGAGTCTAGACATGCTAGTTACCATTTGAGAGGATCGGAAGTGTTGAAATTGTTTTATTCCAACTTGGCGACAAAATATAGCACTCTTATAAATAAATTAAAGGTGATGCATTACTCATCGGCTTAAAATTTTAAATTAGGAAGTCGATCCGAACTTTCACTTCATCTGCTACTCGGCCTACTGAAATTTCAACTTGTGATTATCATATGTTTAGAATGTAGAATTATATTTGTTGTAATGCCTTGAATCTGACTCGTTACAACATCCGTAGAAGTCCAACTTCTGAGAAATCCGGATTCCGGAGAAGTCGAGAAATCCGACTTCCGGAGAAGTCGAGAAATCCGACTTCCGGAGAAGTCAAGAAATCCGAATCCTGAGAGGTTTGAATCCTGAGATGTCTGAACCCCATTCTATTTGGGCTGTTTAATAATCTGTTATTTCTGCAGTTTTTGGGCCTAAGTCTGTTAGGGTTTCGCCAAGAACTATTTACATGGGTGCTACCACAAACCCTATGTGTGGTATTCTGTATTCTGTTTTTGCTTCTCCATCAGAAATAAAACTGCTCCCCCTCTTCCCCTTGGACTAGCCAACACAACGTTGGTGAATCACGTTAAATCTGTTGTCGTGTTTTTCTCGTTTATATTTTGTTATTCTCGATTTCCGCACAACAAACTGGTATCGGAGCCTCCTGGTTGATCTGTGTTCTTGGAGAATTTCGAGATGTCTGCTTTGAACGTGAAAATTGACAAATTCACATGGAGGAACAGTTTCAGTTTATGGCAGATCAAGATGCGGGCTTTGTTGAAACAACAAGGTTTCTGGGCGCCGTTGTCGAAAGACAAAAACGCCGTCGCTACTCCTGAGATGGCGACTCTGGAAGAGAAGGCGCATTCGACAATCATGCTGTGTCTGTCAGATGACGTTATCACGGAGGTCTCAGACGAGGAGACTGCTGATGGCTTGTGGTGGAAGTTGGAGAGTCTGTACATGACGAAATCTTTAACCAACAAGCTACTTCTGAAACAACGTCTATTTGGTTTACGAATGGCTGAAGGTACACCACTCAGGGAACATTTAGAGCAATTAAATACTTTGTTATTAGAATTGCGTAATACGATGTGAAGATCGAGGATGAAGATGCTGCCTTGATTCTATTGATATCTCTCACAATATCGTTTGAAAATTTTGTTCAATCGTTCATTGTTGGGAAAGATACTGTATCTCTGGAAGAAGTTAGACCGGCATAAGGCTAACGGTACGAGTACAGATGTACAACCTTCCGGCCTATTCACCACTGCCGGAAAGGGAAAGAAAACGGTGGGAAGAAGAAGGAGAGGAAGCCGTCGTCAAAGGGTGCAAAGCCGGATGATGTCTGTAATTACTGCAAGGAGAAGGGGCACTGGAAGTTTGATTGTCCGAAGAAGAAGAAGCAATCTGAAAAACAATCAGTTTCTGCTGCTGTTGCTGAAGAAGATACCAATTCTGAAGAAGACATTGCCTTAGTTGCTGATGAAAACACTCATCACTCAGATGTGTGGGTTCTAGACTCTGGGGCATCCTATCATATCTGTCCAAGGAGAGAGTGGTTCACGACCTATGAGCAGGTAGACGGAGGGAGCATCTCGATGGCCAACAGTTCTGTCTGTAATGTGGTTGGGACAGGCTCGATCAAGATAACGACACATGATGGTAGCTGCTGTACATTGAACGAGGTCAGACACGTTCCATTGATGACAAAGAATCTGATATCCCTCAGTCTTTTGGACAGCAAGGGGTTCAGTTGGTCAGGAAAGGATGGAGTTCTGCGCGTTTGGAAGGGTTCAAATCTGATTCTAAAAGGTGTCATGCGGGGTACTTTGTATTTTCTACAAGGTTCCACGGTTACAGGTTCAGTTTATGTTGCATCATCAGAAGTTAAACAGGAAGATATGACCAAGTTGTGGCATATGAGACTTGGTCATATGGGTGAAAAAGGGATGCAATTTCTGTCAAAGGAGGATCTTCTTGCTGGTCATAAGGTAAAGAGCCTAGAGTTCTGCGAACATTGTGTTTTTGGAAAACTACATCGCAACAAGTTTCCAGAGGCCATTCATATAACAAAAGGCACACTTGATTACATCCATTCTGATTGCTGGGGTCCATGCCGAGTTGAGTCTTTGGGAGGATGCAGATTTTTCGTGTCAATTATTGATTATTATTCAAGGATGACTTGGGTATACATGATGAAGCACAAAAGTGATGCTCTCCAGAAGTTCAAGGAGTGGAAAACACTGATGGAAAATCAAACAGGGAAGAAGATCAAGAGGTTGCGAACTGATAATGGACTGGAATTCTGTTGGTCTGAATTTGATCAATTCTGTAAGGATGAAGGCATTGCTCGACATCGTACAGTCAGGGATACACCACAACAGAACGGTGTAGCTGAGCGGATGAATCAAACACTCCTGGAGAGAGCAAGGTGCATGCTCTCTAATGCTGGGCTAGACAGAAGGTTCTGGGCAGAAGCGGTTAGTACAGCTTGCTACTTGATTAACCGCGGACCACATACAGGCATTTAGTGCAAGACACCTGTGGAGATGTGCTCAGGAAGAGCTGCTGATTATTCAAATCTAAAAGCTTTTGGTTGTACAACTTACTATCATGTCAGTGAATGTAAGCTAGAACCACGAGCTAAAAAGGGAGTATTTGTGGGCTACGGAGATGGAGTGAAAGGTTTTAGAATCTGGTCTCCAGCAGAAAAGAGGGTTATTCTAAGCAGAAATGTTGTCTTTGATGAAAGTTCTCTGCTTAGAACCATCGTGAAGCCTACAATTACGTCAGAAACTGAGAGTCTTGATAAACAGGTGGAGCTTCAAGTCGTTCAGAACGAAGGTGATACGAAAGAACCTGAAGGGGAGAATCAAGAGTCACAGACAGAAACTGATTCCCTAGAATCTATGCCATCAGATACCCATCGCAGTATAGCTCAAGATCGACCAAGAAGGGTTGGAGTTCGGCCACCTATGAGGTATGGTTTTGAGGATATGGTGGGTTATGCACTGCAGGTTGCTGAAGAGGTCGATACTTCTGAACCATCTACCTACAGAGAAGTTGTTTTAAGTTCTGATTCTGAAAAATGGTTAACTGCTATGGGAGATGAGATGGAGTCCTTGCATAAAAATCAAACATGGGATCTTGTCATACAGCCTCCAGGGAGAAAGGTTATTACTTGCAAATGGGTTTTCAAAAGGAAGGAAGGAATATCACCAGCAGAAGGGGTCAAGTATAAAGCCAGGGTCGTTGCGAGAGGCTTCAACCAAAGAGAGGGAGTGGACTACAATCAATGTTCGAAAAGGCGAAACGTAAACGCGCCTCAAGGCGCGCCTTGGAACTTTTTCCTGAAAAAACACCTCAAGGCTAATCCTGTTTTCATGCTATAGGCTTTTTTGCGCTATTCTGTGAAAGGCGTACGCGCCGGTGCGCGCAATAAGGCTTACGCAATAAGGCTTACGAAATTGGAAATTAAACGATTTAAATTTTGGGTATTGAACCGTTTAAGTTGTCAATTACTCAATTAATTAACCCAATTAAGGTGTATATATCCTAAAATTACCCAAAATTAGTGTCGATTACCCTCCTAATCTTTGTCGATTACTTTTGGCAAGCTACGAACCGTCTCCAGCCGTCCAGCGTCGCCGTCTGCAGCCTTCTTCTCCGGCGAAAAGGTATGCAGTCTTCTTCCCCGTCTGCAGTCTGCGTTTCTTTACTCTTTCTTTCTTTATTTCTAGCTACGTTTCTTTGTAGTCTGCGTTTCTTTCTAGTCTGCATTTTACCTCTGCGTTTTTCCAGTCTTCTTTCCACCTATTAATATCCTCTTTTTTTCTTCTTTTTTTGATTACTGATGTGCTAATTGTTCTATTTTTTTTGTTTTTAAGATGAATTATTGCATAGTATCGTATTGTTTATTTTGCTGTTTCAGAAATTAGAATATTGCTTAGATGTCGGACCCAGCATGGAAGTATGGTGTTGACTCAACACCCTCAATCGAAGGAAAAAAAAAACTACAAATATGTAAACTGCAATTTTTGTAAAAAAGATGTCAAAGGCGGGATTAGTCGATTTAAGCATCATCTTGCTGTTACAAGGAAAAATTCTGCACCTTGTGAAAAGGTTCCT